TCTTACCTGTTCCTCTTGATGACCCTACTCCTGCACCTTCAGACCTCATTCCCTCCCTTCCTGACGACCTTACTCCTAACATACTTCCTCCAACCCCAGACACTCCTACCTCGCCACCTCCTGCACCATCGTCTCCTTCGCTGCCCCTCACTCCCCTTCGTCGATCAGCACGCATTAAACAACCCCCTGCCCACCTTCGTGACTATTAGACCCATCATGCTGCTTTGCTTCAGTCCAATGCCATCTCTTCCACCATGTTCGGCACACGATATCCTCTTCACAGGTATGTTTCTTATGCTCGACTCTCTCATGCTCATCGTTCATTTATTCACAATGTCTCTCACTTAGTTGAACCAGCCTCCTATGAGCAGGCACGCCATGACCCTCACTGGCTTGCAGCTATGCATTCTGAGCTTAAAGCACTTGAAGCCAATCACACCTGGACTTTGGTTCCTTTACCCCTCCACCAACGCCCCATTGGATGTAAATGGGTCTTCAAAATCAAGTATCATTCCGACGGTTCCATCGAACGCTACAAGGCTCGCCTTGTCGCCAAAGGGTTCACGCAGCGCGAAGGTATTGATTACAAAGAGACGTTCACCCCCGTTGCTAAACTCATTACTGTCCGCTGTCTCTTGACCATTGCTGCTGTTCGCAACTGGTCTCTTCACCAAATGGATGTCCAAAACGCTTTCCTTCACGGTGCACTCCATGAGGAAGTATATATGTTACCACCTCCTGGTTATCGTCGACAGGGGGAGACTATGGTTTGTCGACTTCACAAGTCATTATACGGACTCAAGCAGGCATCTCGCAGCTGGTTCCAACGTTTTTCATCAACCATTCAAGAAGTTGGCTTTCAACAGTCTCATGCAGACTACTCATTATTCACTAAAGTTTGTGGACACTCCATTACTGTAGTATTGCTCTACGTTGACGACATGATCATTGCAGGAAATAATGAGGAAGCCATCAGTCAACTCAAGCAATTTCTTAGTGGATGTTTTCGAATTAAAGACCTCGGACCATTAAAATATTTTCTGGGTGTCGAAGTTGCACGGTCCAAAGCTGGGATCTCCATTTGCCAACGAAAGTATACTCTGGACATATTGGAGGAAGCTGGCTTGCTTGGCGTAAAACCTGCCAAGGTACCTATGGAACCCGATTTAGTGTTGACAACAACAGGTGGTGATGCCCTCAAGGATCCGACTCGATATCGACGTTTGGTTGGAAAATTAATATACCTTACCATCACCAGGCCAGATATTACGTATGCAGTGAATAATCTCAGTCAGTTCTTGCAAGAACCAACACTCCATCACCTTAAAGCAGCACATCGTCTCCTTCAATATCTGAAAGAAGCACCAGGACAAGGGTTACTATTTCCTACGGAGAACCAACTTAATTTGATTGGCTACTGTGATGCGGATTGGGCTAGATGTCCGATCACACGACGATCAGTGACAGGTTTTTGCATCTTCCTTGGTAAATCACTTGTATCGTGGAAAAGTAAAAAGCAAGTCACGGTGGCAAGATCTTCAGCAGAAGCCGAGTATCGCTCCATGGCTGCAACCACTTGTGAGCTTACTTGGCTGAGGAATTTGTTGAATGATTTGCGTGTAAATCATCCTGTCCGTGAAAGGATTCAGAGGGGAGAGATCGAGACGTCTCATGTGCAGACGGGACGTCAAATAGCAGACATGTTTACAAAGCCACTGAGAGCACCTACCTTCCATTCACATCTTGGCAAGTTGGGTGTTATTGATATCCACACTCCAACTTGAGGGGGAGTGTTAAAGGTGCTCTACTCACACGCTGGACAGAAGGAATATGATCATTCCTTCGCATGTGTGGATGCACTATTAACGTGGACAGCAATGCCACTGCATGTGGTTGCTGACTGCTTCAACAAGGACAGCATGGATGCCACTTTCTGCCCTTTGTTTATTGCATGACTCTGCAATAATCTTGTATATAAGTTCTGCTGCTATTGTAGCAGAACATTAATTCAAATATATTGGATCCAAATAATTTATAGTGTGTGTGTTTATATATATATATATATATATATATATATATATATATACACACACACACATATATAAACACACACATATATAAACACACACACACACGCACAGCATGTGTATATATATATATATATGCATGTGTGTGTGTGTGTGTGTATGCAAGTGTGTGTGTGGTCGTGCATATGTACATGTGTGCATGGGTATATGTATATTTTGTGCATGTGCATGCGGTGTGTGTGTTTATATATGTATATGTATGTGCACGTGTGGTGCAATACATATGTACATGTGTGTGTGTATGCTGTGCGAGTGTATGTGTTGTGTGTTGGGATGTGCATGAAGTGTGTGGGTGTGTTTTGGACTGCACAGTGTGTGTGCAGGCCCTGTGTGTGTATGCATGCCGTGTGTGTGTGTGTGCAGTGCATGCTTATGCATGCTGTGTGTGTGGGTGCAGTGCATGTGATTATGGGTTTAGGCTTAAGCCCAAACTCCATCTTGTTCCTAACCTACCCAAACCCAAAAACCCATTTCCATTTCCTAAAATTCTATCTTTTGGGTAGTTTATTAAATTGTACATTTTCATGCTTAGGTGAAGTTGCTAGTGGAGACTTCCTTAATCATTTTCCGCACAATTCTGCTGCTTCGGAGTATCTGTGAGTGGACCACCTTTGAAAATTTGCATGTTTTATTGATAGAATTGCATAATTTAATAGGATGTCTTGCAGAATTATTGATTTGAGGAATACTTTACAGGAAGCATGATGATTTGATTATACGTGATTATATATATATATATATATATATATATATATATATATATATATATATATATATATATATATATATATATGTTTTGAACTATTTCCATTATATCGTATTTTCTATAGAACCCTCATTCTGGTAGACTATCTGATCGATGACGATAGGATGCTAAGAATGTGTTTCAAATGACTTTCGAACACCTCTTCGTAGTATAGAGGATCGATGAATTTATGCTACGAAGTTGTATTTTAGAGATGAATTATGTTTTGTGCGTACCTAGTGAACATTATGCCGCCTGGGGCGAGGATCTGGTGTTGGCATTGAGGCCGGGAGAAATAATCCCTAGCGAAAGGCTGAGGGACACGGAGACAGGCATTGGGCCGGGAGGGAGATATCTCTGGCTACGGACACAGAGACTAAGGTGCAGGCATTGGGCCGGGAGTATTGTTATTCAGTGCACTCACTAGCAGCACAACTTGTGTTATGCTTCCTGATATGATTGCTGAGATGATTTCTGATATGATTTTCTAAGATTGATTTGCAGATGGATATATGAATTATTTTTATGGCATGCTAGAGGTTTCAGAAAAGTTATCACTTATTATGCTAGTAGTTTTCATTATATAAATTGTGGGGGTTAGTATGTTCATAACTGTTTTTGTACTATGTATATATACAAGCTTGGTCCACTCACCTTTGTTTTGTGCCCCCATTCAGGTCTTAGGAACGAGGACTACGAGGCATCATACGAGGCATTCCCCTACCAGTAGCAGTCTATCTTCCACTTGTGTAATATTTGTAATGATCTTTCCTTTCGTGATCTTGACTTCGAACGTGTTTTGCGCACTCTAGATATTTCCCTAAACTTTGTTTGTAACTCCCTTTGGATTCAGATATTTAATCGTGCGTGTTTCTCCTAATCATTTCTCTTGTACTTCAATAAATGGCTTTCGTCACCTCAGGTGTCGGCCAGCACGTGCCTATCCTGATATTCGGGGGATATCGGGGTCGGGACGTGTCAGAATGTCTTTCGGAAACTTTTTAAATCCCCTTATGTCTAAACCAACAAAGAAGGGGTTCGTTCTTCTTCCGGCTTTCCACATTCAACTACTAATTGCTTTGAGGCCTTAATATTATATAAAAATCACACTTACGGATTGCACACCTGGTTTAATTAGTAGTGGGAAGACCACATCAAATCATCGTTGATAAACGAGGTTACATACTCGCTAGGCGACACATTACCCCTAGTACCCCTAGTTGCGGTACAAACAACAACCCTACAGTAAACCTACCCTACTTTGAGAACGGAATCCACCAATTGCTCATCTCCACACTGAGAATTAGGAAACTCTAGCCAAGACCACCAAGACTTGCATCTAGGGAGATCTGCGGCAACCGCTAGCCAAGCAAGTGGAGAAGCCACAGATCTGGCCAGGTAAGGCGGCACCACCACAAACTGCTTACAGAGAACTCCACCCTGAAAATAAAGCCAAAGAAGGTGGATCTGACCCGTAACAACCAAGAAACCAACCAACCCAAAGCCACGTATCAAGCCCCAATTCAAGTGAAAATCCCTTGGAAGGAAGGAAGATCTCGATTTTGGGGAGGAGGCTCAAACAAAGCCATGAAAAAATGGTTGCCTATAAAACGGTGGGGAGAACAGGCGCTTAGAGCACTGATAGAGGTGAGAAAAGGCACGGAAAAGGGGCGCCAGAGGCGCGGTGGAGGGAAAACGAAGAGGGGTGGCTAGGAGGGGGTGGAGTGGCAGAGAATTAGAGATAGGCTAGGTAGAGGAAGAACAAAGGCGGCCACCGACCTCAAGCCGGAGCAATGGGCCGGTAGCCTTGGTTGTTGCAGATCCAGGGTTCGTTGTGTTGGGGAAGAAGGGAGAAGATTCGAGGTGTTTCACTTGTGACTTATTTTTTAGAAAAACTAATAAAAAGAGTTTGAAAATTTTGAGTTTTAACTATAAGGATAAAATAAAAGATAAAGTGAATAGTACCATATTTGACTTTTAAGTGTAAAAATATGATTTTTTTTGTTAAATTGAACAGTACTGCGTACTTTTCGTTAAAATTTTTTTTTTTTTTTTGATGTCTAATTGATGGCCTCTACTCATTTGTTCTTAGGAGGATTCCAATGAAGCAAGTGTCGTCTTCTTGCGTAGAGTATAAGCAAATTGGTAGCAGCAAAACCAAATCAAAGTGTAGATATAAGAATCACTTTATCATTCATAAAAGATCATAAACAAGAGTTACATACATAAAGCATTCTTTCAACGGTTCTGATCTAAATCATCACACTACAAAACTACAAGTCGGTAAACTAAAGATAGTTTGACAAACAGGAAACAAGCTAGCTACTACTGTGACAATAAATTATACCTTGGCTGCGATACAACTAATGGCGGCTTCAGCCTGCTCTGGTATATGGAGATGGACATGGTGGAACATGCACTTCGACAACTGCTTCAAACATCTGCACAACCCTCCTCATAGTAGGCCTAAGAGAAGGATCTTCCTGAATGCACCAAATCCCAACCATCACAAACTTTTCCAGTGTCGCTCGATCACCCAATGCCTCAACTTCATGATCTACAACAGCATCTAATACTCCTTCAACGTAGCAATCATAAACCCAATCCGTTAAAATTGCTCTCTCTTCCAAGTTACCTTCCACGTCAACATTTCTCCTACAACAAATAATCTCCAGCAGCACAACACCAAAGCTGTACACATCAACTTTGGTAGTGATTGGCAAGTTCCTGAACCACTCAGGTGCAACATAACCTTTTGTTCCTCGGATAGCAGTATGAGTCTGGCTCTGATTCATCATCAAAAGTTTTGCCAATCCAAAATCAGAAATCCGAGGAGTGTAATAATCATCGAGAAGTATGTTCTGTGGCTTTATGTCACAATGGATAATCTGCGTGCTGCACTCTTCATGCAAGTACAAAAGCCCTTTCGCAATGCCATAAGCGATTTCAATTCGCTGTTTCCAACTTGGTTTGATATCAGAAAAAAGAAAGCTTGCCAGTGTGCCATTGCTCAAGAACTCATAAACTAGCAATTTCTGTTGCCCCTCATCACAATATCCAAAAAGACGAACCAGATTCTTATGATGCGTCTTACCAATTACATTCAGTTCTGTTTTAAACTCCTTCTCGACATCTTGCATAACATAGCGTAGCTTCTTCACCGCCACTTCGACACCAGAACCAATTTGCATCGCCCCTTTGAAAACCACTCCAAAAGCACCCTTTCCTAATTCTTCCGTAAATCCATTTGTAGCTTCTTGTAGCTCTTCATAGCTAAAAGAGCGCAAATTCGAGTCCAAAACAATATCGGTACTAGATCTTACTGGTTTCTTCCGGAATATGAAGAAAAAACCGAGACAGAGAGCAGCAACATTAACAAATATGGAGGTCCCTAATAGTGCTGATCCCACACGTATAACAGTGATCTTGCTCTTCTCTTTATCATCTGGAATTGGCATTGGAGGAGGAATTGGCATTGGAGGAAACTGCAGAGTTACATTATCCTTTCGGACTTTGATGAAGGTCTGTGAACTAAGATTGAACTGCACTCTCCCGTTTGAGAGAGGTAACTTCTTTTTCCAGCAGGTTTCAGACCTGAAAACAGCAACAGCGCACAAACAATCTTGAAAGCAAGACTCTTTGCACTTCTCCGCGGTAAAAGGTTTTAGCCGCATATAATCTGAGGTTGGCCAATCAGTATTTGTCTGCATTTCGACATCATACAAATCTTTTCTGGGACTTTGTACCTCATCTGCTTCACAGCCTTGTATAAAATCGGGTTTACAGCCTCGGTATAAGTCCTTGGGATCAAGAAAAGAAAACCCTCTCGGGCATTCGCAGGTTGGCCTATGATCTTGATTCATCTTACAGACACTGTTGTATCCACAAACACCAACGCCCGTGTCTTCCATAAGTGCTTGGCAAATATCATTCGGCTGATACCACAGGGGACTCCAGCTTGCGATTCCAATGAAATTTTTCGGGTAAGAGTATAGCATGAAAATCCCATCAAAATCAAGGGTTGCCCTTATGTAGCTGTCCCTCACCCAGGAGACTCCTGCCGATGTGAGAATGAATGTTCCACCATTTTCTCTCAAAACAAACATGTCCCCTGAGTTGTTGAACACCAATTGTTTACCTTCCAGAGTCCCCGCTGTTGTGTCCGTGGCAAAGTAAGGCTCGTTGGCAAAATCTGTTGGCAAGTTTATGGTGTTGAGCACGAGATTTCCATCATCTTGCAAGCGCAGCTGGAACCGCCCCTTCGTGTAGTTACTCTCCGATTGTCTAGACGAAAGCTTCCCATTTCTCTCAATTGTCTGTCCAGGCAAAATGGTGTCTGTAGGATTGTTGAAGGTCTCCCATAAGCTCCCCGAGTTTTTGTCTTGAAGAACAAAGTTTCCGGTGTCATTCATGACCCCGTTTGCAACAACCCCGAAAGTTGTTTCAGATTTCCATATCTCCATACCGTGAGGATCGTTAAGAACTAGTCCACTGCTGGCATTCATGTTCAAAGTGGATCCCTTAGGTGCAACTATGGGGTTGTTATCCTCATATGCATGCCAAACTACGGTTTGGTTTTGGATTTTGGCGTACCATATTGAAAGCAAGAAAAGATCATCGCCTCCAAGGGGCAAAAATCCAAACGCGAAATCACCGGATGGAGAAAGCCATGATGAGGAGTTACTTGTAGTTGCAGTTAAAGAATTTCCAACTGCTACTCTTCCATTATTTTGGGAAAACACAGAAATTGGAAGCAAAAACAATGAGGAGAACAAAAGCATCCGCACAGAAAAAGCCATTGCCATTGCAAAAGCACCAATTTTCAGCCTAGCTTAACTGATTAGCTATATTTCTTAATTAAGCATTGCTTCCTTGGAATTCAAGTCAAAGTTTATGTTACAAATTTTAGGCTTGACTAATCTCCATGCCTGTCGTTGACTAAGCGTTTCCAGATGTAAATGCGTACATCACGTTTTGCTGAGTCAATTCCGATGTGACTACCTCGTGTGACGATCACACTAAAAAATCTCTCTTATTACTTCTGCAGTTCTGTGGGTTTTGCAGGGAAAAAGACAAAGTTTATGGAATGGTGCATGGGCACCGTCTGAAAAGAAGAAATAGAATGATAAGATTTTAATCCCTAAATAAAATGAAGTTTAGAAAAATGTTTTATGTAAGATTAAAAATTGATTTTAGTCCCTAAACTCTATTTAGTGCCAGCATTTGTATTCAATGTCTCTTTTTTTTATTTATAATTTTATGAATTTAAATTTTATGAAAAAATTATAAATTTTAATTCTCATTATGGTAAGCATCTTATATAAGAAAATATTTTCGTAGAAATTTTTCGGTACACTTATGTTTTTGCATATTTTCTTATCTGTCACTAATTCATTACAATATATTTAAGTATGAACATTTCGGTACACTGGGTTAGTATAATATGATTAGGTACAGATATTTCGGTACACTAGTTTAGTATAATATATTTAGGTACCGACATTTCGGTACACTAGTTTAGCATCATATAGTTAGGTACGGAATTTTCGGTACATTATGTTTTTACATATTTTCTTAGGTGTTACTAATTCACTACAATATATTTAGGTAAGAGCTTTTTGGTACACTAATTTAGTAAAGGGAGACTTTGGATGTGGTCCCTAGTTATGAACAGTCTTTGACTGAAACCTTGTTGGTTTTCAATTTTTGATCCAAGTCCCTGAAATTAATTGATAATTTATTTCTATGTACGTTACTATATTTTTTAAATTAAAAATTAAAATTTATAGTTGTTTATAGTAATGAGATTTTAAATAAAAAACCATAATTTGTGGGATTAAAAATATTAAAATATAAATATAATATTGTCTGTGTGTGTAAACATGGGTACATTCATAAAAAATAACCAAAAAATTATTGTATCAAAACATGGGTACATTCTTCAAAATAGGTACATTTAGCAAAAATAAAAATGGGTACAAATAAATAAAAAAATATGGGTACAATACAAATAAAACTTTAAAAAATATGGGCACAAAAAGAAATTAATATATGGGTACAAATTAAAACTGAAAGGAAAATTAGTACAAATTAAAAAAGTGAAACACCCCACCCCATTTTTTTTTAAAATATTGTTAGTCTTAATTGGTGAGCCAAGGGGGACCCACCCCTGATTTCTGTCCCCAGCCTCCCATCTCTCTCTTCCTTCTTCTTCGTCTCTCTCCCCGTAACTCTCCCTTCACTCTCTCCCTCAGCTATCCCTCTCTCCCTCAACCTCTCGCATCTCTCTCTTCCCCTGGACTCACTAGGACCGAGTCACCATCGAAGAGAGGCTCGCAACGAACCCCAGACCCTGCCCTGCGAGTTTCGACGACACGGAGTAAGCTCCGGCGAGCCCACCGCCCTTTCGAGGCCATTTCG